TCACAGCACAATCTGAAAGAAAATCAAAAGTATTAGGGAAAAGTTACCAATCTTAAAAACACTTAAAAGTTATTAATGTTCTTGGTGTATTAAAAATCAGCTGATGAATGAAATCAAACACCCTTATAATTGGCATGGTTCAAGCAGCAGGCTCGCTCTCAGCTGGCAACAGGAACTTGGGGATCAGAGTTACTGTAGACCCAAAACGAGGAACACACAGCATCCCCTGCTCCTTGTGCCTCTGTGAGGTAACCAGTTTTGGCCTCTGGTCTCCAGTACTCTTTATGACTCGAAAGGACAAGAAAACATCATGTCTCTGAAAACAAAGACCTGGCAATTACCCAAATGTATTTACCGGATGAGAGAGACACTCATGGTGTCCCATTTCCCCAGCATGCTGTCATATAACACTTTGAAACTACTAACGGTTTTGGCCTCCACCACCTTCTCACTAACCATCTAACATCCATCACTAACCATCTACCACTTTGTAAAAGTGAACTTTCTAATGTGACATGTAATATCCGTTGGTTAGCTATATGGAGTCACCAAGGGAGCCCTCTCAAAAGAAACTGCCAGAAAGTATAAGTGCAACAAAACAAGTGAATTCTTTTAAAGAAAATTAGGCCAATAATGTAAAAAAAACAATAATGTACCTTTTAAGTACAGTACCTACTGGAGATAGTGGCACAGCTGCACACAGCTAGCCGAGTGAGGGACCAGCCTGTCAAACAAGACCCAATTCTCGGCAAGCCAGACTAAGAAGAAACTAGCTGGAACATCCACCAGTTGACCAAAAAGGTGAAAGCAAGCCAACTGAAAAAGAACCGGATCTCTGGCCAGCAGATAAGTCAGATGACTGCAGGGCCCAAAGTATGCAATCGCTTGGGTAAGCCCAAAAGTGGTATGAGAGGTGCCCTACATCAAACTCCACCCAAATCTTAAACTCAGGAAATCGAGCCCTTGACCCTTGGTTGCGAGTCGACAATGTAGATGGATTATGGCATGACTGTCAAAAGAAACAAAGCATAAATGGAGTTAAGCCGGAGTGGGAAGCTTTACAAGTGGCATGCCCTAGGGTTCTGTTGCTTACCATGCTCTATATACAGTGGAACCTCGGTTGACGAATGCCCTTAAAGACAAATTTTTTGGAACATGACGTCAAATTCGTCGAAAAATTTGAATTGGAACACGGTTTACTAAGAACACGACATCTGTTCATACGCGTATGGGTAGAACAAGCATGTGGTGCTGGGGCGTGTCGGGGCACTTTTTACCAGTGTGTATCTCGTGTAGTGACGAACGCAGCCGTGCTTGAATTCTTTGTGAAAAATTATGTTTGACTGCTTTTTTTAACAAAGTTCTTATTATGTCATGCCACAGGTCCCAAGAAAGTCAGTGGTAAAGTTCAACCTAAGAAAACAATTGTGAGGATGACCATAGAGGAAAAACAAGAGATCATTCGTAAACATGAAAATGGTATGAGGGTGGTTAAACTAGCTAGGCAGTACAACAAATCCATGTCAACAATATCCACCATAATTGCTAAGAAAAAGGAAATTACGAGTGCTAAAGTGGCAAAAGGCGTAACAACAATCTCAAAACAAAGGACACAAACACTTGAGGATGTAGAGAAGTTATTAATTTGGATAAATGATAAGCAGGTGACAGTGTTTCAGAGGCTACCATTTTTGAAAAAGCAAGGATGGTGCATGAAGATCTGATAAAGAAAATCCCTGGAACAAGTCATGCAGATGCAAAAGATTTTAAGGCAAGCAGGTGTATATTCAACAGAAAACTCCTCACGTGGCCCCACAATAAGGAGATGATTTGATAAAACAACCATGCCCAAGATTACCATCAAAGTGCCGTCGGGGAGGTGGTTCAAAAAGCTTCGGCTATCACATATTTTTGTACGGTCACTGATGGTCGAGTGGTTAAGGCCTCCATACACCAGTTGCATAGTGCTCCTGGCAGTATGGGTTTGAGTCACTTCTGGGGTGGAGAGTTTTCAGTTGAATATATGCCTGGGGACCATTCAGGCTTGTTCACACACATTATATATAAATTATATACAGTATATTATATAATATATATATATATAATTTTTTTTTTTTTGTGGCCTGTAACACATACATACATACCTCTACATACTGTATAAACAATTCAGATACAGTACAATTAAGGGCAATACAAAATTATGACTAAATTCATTATTTAAAATGGATACAAAACAATTTCAATAAGACTTTACTGCATCTGCCAACAAAAGTTGGCAGCTACAGTTTGATGCTGACAAATGTGTGATTTTGAGCCTAGGTGTATTAATTAGGTGTAATAATAGTCATCAGTTATCAGCTGGACAATGATGAAATTGTCAAATTTGAATGCAAAAACAGATCTGGGTATTATGATTGGTAAGCATCTAAAGTCATAAATGTATGAATATACAGAATAAGGCAAAATGAATGGTGGAATTTGTATGTAGAATCACTAGCAATAAGACATCTTTTGTTAGTTTTCAGCTTTATTTTCCTGTTATTGGGCCCAAGTTAGCTTGGATCAGTGTACTTGCACTACTTCACACTAGTCCAGTGACAAGTGGAGCGAGTTATCCAGTGAGAAGGACCGAAACTAGTTAAATTCTTTAAACTAGCGATTCTTAAAAACAAATGCTGTACTTGTGTAAGCAAGTGTAATAACCTAGTAACAGGATGACGTTAATGTCAAAGTTGAAAAACGGTGTACCGTGGCAGTCGTTGGTAAGGCAGGTGGTGGTTAACCTTGTGCCCGCCTGCCCCTGGATACTACTAGATGGTTGACCATGTAGACAGCCTCGTCCACAGCATGAGGGACCATGAGGGACCACAGCCTGAGGTGACCATGAGGGACCACAGCCTGAGGGACGTGGACCCAACCATGGTATGCAGCCTGTCATAAGATAACAGGTTTGGAACGTTTCTCGTAGATACGTATTAATTAGATTCTCCAACTTCTCACTGTCACTCTTGCATAGTTTTTAGTTCTTAACACCACCAGAATACTTATAATATGCTAGATCGCAGTATGAACTCGGATCAGCATTGGAATATAGTGTGGAAATAGATGAATCCTACCTTACTGTGGCAGAGGGAGACGGCGTAGGTGCTGCTCCTGCCGCGCTCAGTCCCAGAGTGACCCCTCCACACCTGCTCGGCTATCAAGGCTCACCATGACTTTAAATTTAACGCATCTTTCCTCTATAGCTACGATGACAATCTTAAAACCTTAACATAGTATACGTTAAGAATACATTATTGTATTGACTAAAAGTGACACAGTTGACGTAGTGTCCGTCATTTGATCAATCAGGTAGGTTAAACCCAGAACGCTGGATGGGTGACCTCTTGGAAATTCGTATGCACGTCTTGTACATGGCTAGCAGAGTCCTTGATAAGTCTAACAAGTTTTCTCTTTGTCAGCGGCATGTAATACTATACGATACAGTGCACCGCAAATTAAGTTGACCTAGTATGGCCAGCGCCCATGTCGAGTCACAACCGGAAAGTTACCAGTTGACTGACAGTTGAGAGGCGAGACCAAAGAATCAGTCAGAGCTCAACCCGCGCAAGCACAACTAGCTGAGTAAAACCGGAAAGTCCCGTGTTCGATTCCCGGGCGTCTGACACATACGTTCCAATAGCCACGTTTTCTTTCCAAGACTCTTGTTTATGTAGCAGTACGTATCGGAGTTAGGTAGTAGCTGTTGTGGGTTGCATTATGGAGAAGGTCAGTCGGTGGCTTAGGTAGTGGGACCTGATTAAGTTTTTACTTGCCAGAATTTACCTGAAGGCCACTATCTCCCTAGTGCTATCAACGCGGACAGCTAGGACGCCAGCGGCTTATCAAAGGTATAATGGAAAGAGCCCTGTTGCTTATGCATCGTTAATCGCCTGGAAAGAGATGTTGTTGTCTTGCCTATATACTGAGTGTTTTGAGGCTTACAGTCCCCAAGAGGACCTCTTGGGAACTGTAAGCCCCAAGGACCTCTTGGGGACCTCTTGGGACCCAAATGCAGGTATAAAAAATCGAAGATGTTTAAGCTCTATTCAGTTATAGTTGTGCGTGTGTGTGTGTGTAAACTAAAGTCTTTGAAAATGTAATAAGTTTTACGAAACGCGCTCAAGTGTCGCGTCAGACTAGAAATAAAAATGAATTTTGGAGAATTGATTTTTTAATTACCATCAACAGTGAAAAGAAACATAAGAAAGATCGAGAAAATTCGTGTTAGAATTATTAATCTTACTTTTTCGGTCATATTTAATTATATATATATATATAATTAAATATGACCGAAATAATCATATTTCGATTATATATATATATATATATATATATAATATATATATAGATTATATATATATATATATATATATATATATATATATATATATATATATATATATATATATATATATATATATATATATATATCATATATATCACCCTCTCTGCCGGCACAGCAGGAGCCGCAGCAACACACAGAGAAAGACAAAAGTCAGTCAAGTACAGGCAATTAGATCATCGGTACAACTTCGTTCCAATAGGGTCTGAGACCCTAGGCCCATGGGGTGAGAGTGCAAGAAGGTTACTTAAAGATCTTGATTCCAAGCTCATTGACACCACAAGAGACCCTAGAGCGGAATGTTTTCTTTTTCAGCGCCTCAGTGTCGCAATCCAGAGGGGGAATGCCCGCTGCATCCTTGGTTCCTGCCCGGCGTTGGAGGAGTTTGAGGAAATTTACAGCCTCTAGGAAGCGAACTTTTTCTTGTGTCCTCTTAATGTTCATTTTTTGTATAAAATCAGATATGTAACTGTATAACCTTGCATAATAAAGTGTACACCATAATAAAAAGAAGGGGGGTGGTAGGAGAAGCGAACACTTTCGTATTCAGAGTTAAATGGCAAGTTTTTCCCCTGAATGCTCTGTGTTCCCTTCTCTGAGGCTGTGGGTCCCTATA